GTGAAGATATTAAACAGTTGTATTAAGAAGCAGAAATAATAGTAGGGGCGCAGTTTTCTACAACAAACTAGTTAATATTTTAAGTGTATCCAGGATATGCTATCTACAGCCCGATTACTGGTTTTTGAGTCTTGGAATATCGCAGTTGGTAAGGTACAATCTTTTGTATAGGTTTTGTGATTATTAAAAAAAATGTATTGTAAAGAAAATATGTAAATAAATAAATACAAAATGTAATTAAATTTATTTCTGATGTTAGATCCATAAAATGTTATTCTGAACTAACAAACTAGTTAGTAGAAATATTAATAATATTAATAATTTAAGTACATAAGTAATTTACAAATAGACAATTTCTATTTAATTATTTAAACTTTCGTGAGACATTTTATAATCAATTATTTACGGCTTACTCACGTATACTTTTATTTTTCCGGTGACGGCACCGACCAGTTTCAGACCCCCGCAGGGTCGTGTAAGTCTCAAGTATACGTGAGTAAGCCGTAAATAATTAATTAGACAATTTCTCCTAAATATATTCCTATGCTCCTCACTATGTATTTTAATTTAATAATAATATGGACATATAAAAACCGCTTATTTACAAACACTTTGTAAAAAATGGGTATAAATGCATCATAGCTATTATAAGTGGTAATAAAAAATTCAATTTGCAAAAACATTAACATAATCGTGAAAAGATTGTTCCACGTTATTTCCTTTAAAATCATGCAAAACAATAGAAAAGTTTTTAAACGTACGTACTGTTGCGGAAATTTGCGGTGTTTCACTTACAAAAAATGCCTTGCATTGGGTAAATCCGTCTCTCACAAATAATAAGATAGATGCGAGTTGTGTAAACGATATATTAATATAAAAATTATCCGTGTATCACGAACTGAATATTTTTATAATAAAAACCTACATCCTATTGGTTATTTTTCGCTCCGTCTCAATAGGTTCAGACGACTGTAGGTTTTACTGTCAAACACGACCATATTCCTCGACTGTACATAAATGAATTATTTACAAATAGTACTTTAGTAAAGAAAATATAACGGTTTAAGGTAGTATAATAGAAGTTTCGGAATAATACTATGAAATAATAAGCCGGCCAACACGTCATTGTTTATAAATAATGCGCAAAACACAGACCAGTGTGATAATTTGATATAACTAAGTGTACCCTTGACCCGCGACGCGGGACGCGTTTGTGCTCCCTCGTAATTCAGTTCAGTACTTCAGTAGTCAGGGAGCGCTCGGCGCGGTCGCACACGACATGAAACTCCTAACTATTACTTTGTTTACATTGATCGTAATTCAAACGAACGAGTGCTCTCAAAACTGGTTCCCGCAGAACCTAGTCACGACCATAAAAAAGGAGACGTCCCTAATCAAGGACTATGTCAAAGAAAAAGGACGAAACATAAAAGAATTCTACATCAACAACGTACGGAATAAAATCACATCATATTTGGGTTTGCAACGCGAGGAAC